TAAACTAAAATACTTAGTGAAAATCAGAATGTGAGGTTTAATATAATAAAAGTACTCTTCCTCATGCAATGAAATTAGTGATATGTGTAAAAGTAAAACAAGTAGTGAGTGAGATTGTGACAAATAGAAGAAATTATATTCTTTACCCTTACTAGAGATGTTTAAAGAACATTAGTTAATCTAAAATTTGAATAGTTCTGAAGACAGGCTAGACAAGGAAGATACTAGCTCTCACTGTAGAGGTTCTTCTTATCCCTCCACCTGGAGGCTAACATCTCGCATCAAAACCTAAAATAATTGACCAAATTAGGGGGCTTTAGCCTATCACTCTAAAGTCCTCAAATTCTACACCCATTAAGGATTATTTCCCAATTTATTTGTGCTCAACTATATGGACTACATTCTCACCCCTATAATATCATGTGATTCTGCCACAGTTGATTAAGACAACGCCATCCCGGATCTTACATGTTCTCACAACGGATTTTAATATGCAAGTTGATTAAGTTTACATGTAAATTAAGAACCAAGTAAAATCATCACAATATATTCTCACTCTACTTGATTCTATATCCTACACATGCATACTAATTCATTACAAGTGGGAATAGTAAGGAAAACTACTCACTACAAATGGAGAAACAACAAGAACTTTTCAGTGAACAAGACTTTGAAAACATACAAACAAAGTATTAAATTTAAATCAAAATACAATGAAAATGCTTATCTCTGATAGAAATGAAACTCTTCTTGTATAGTAAAAGCAATGTCCTTACAATCCTCTCCAAGAACAAAGTGAAAAGAGAAGAATAAATCTCTCTCACTCTCTCTTCCTCTCTCACCATGCCGCCCCACTTGGGGCTCACGCCCAATCCTTCTTCTCTTCCTCTCAAAGTCTTCTTCTCCTCTTTCAATTAGTTAAAGAGCCAAAGAGTTATTTTAAAAATATTTCCAAGCCTTTTTTTATAATTTCCTAAGAGAAGCTTAAGTGTCTCTTCAAAACTGTCCAGATTCCATGAATCTTTCAAATGGTGCTTGAAATGCCTCTTAAAAACTCGATATAACTGCCCAAAATTTTTTTTTAAAAGTCCATTTTTTCATTTCCAATGAATTCCCCAAGCTATACACGAAGTAATGCTTCAAAAATCGTCCAAATCCGTCGTATATTGAAGAAGTTATGTTAAAAACCTTCTCCGGCGCCTAAGCATTGATTCTGGGGCGCTTAGGCGCCCTCCTCTCTGTCTGGTGGCTCCTAAGCTCCATTTTTGGTGCTTAAGTACCAGAAACAAGTACTTAAGTGTCTGGTTTTGGTCCCCATAGCTTTGGTGTACTCCGATTCAACCCGATTTGCTCCGGTTTGCTCCATTTTGGTCCATTTATGTTCCTTTTGCTCCAATCACTCCAAAGTCTTCAATTTATTGTATCCACAACCAAAAATAAAAGAAAAAATACCTTTAAAGTGTAATATCATTGTAAAATATAACATGAAAAATATTACATTTTTACGCGTATCACTAACCTACGGATGCTAACAAGATTTCCTATGGTATAAATGAAAGTATGAAACTCATTAAGTTGAGTTTAGTAAAATCATTTGGACTAAGTGAATTTGAAGGAAAATAGTGGTACCAAAATGAGGGAACTGTAATATCCTAACCAGTGTCGCTCTATTCAACTTTAATATACCTCATAATACTTAAATAATAATGACTCTTAAGGACATCTGATTTGAAAAAATAAACTTGCCGTGACGAGGAGCTTGGAGCTAACATTGTGTACAACACGACCATCTTCAACAACAAAACATGTCTATAGCAACCAAGCCATTCCCTAAATTTAAACTACCTAGCCAAAAGACTTCGAGGTGGTTTACTTATGCAACATAAATCCTCAACTTTTCTTTAGGCCTTTGTATGGTTTTGCTATACAATATAAGCCCTAACTCGCCTGAGGATTCTGAGGTTGCAGTTCATTACGACCTACATCCTCATATCTTCCAGGCTGTTTATGTGAATGTTTCACATGAGTGTAAGCCCTAATTAATAAAATTGACATGATGAAACATTTAAATATTTCTCTCTAAACTAAAGCCAAATCATACGGTAGCTTGGGAAGTCCCTGAGGCTCTCCTCTGGGTCTATGATATCCCCCAGTTCTTCATTCTTTGGATTCTACAATAAATATTCCAAATTTGAGTCATTCCCCTTTCAAACCTCTTTATCCGATCACATTGAAAAGTGTTATCCTTTTAACCTCCACTAAATTAGAAGAATATCAATGGAAATCTATTGCTAATATTTCCAGATGCACCCTGCCAAGTATGAATATGGAAATAGAATAATCAACAGAAATGCATGTGGAAGAAACATTTGAAAACTGAAATGTCTCGGTGGAATGCAGAAACAAAACCCTTACATTTTTGTATTTAGAGCTGCATCTAAACATGTCAAAGGCTTCAACTGCAAGATAATTGCAAAACGCAACAATGAAAAGCAAACCAATTTAGGCAAGAAAAAAAGGTTTTTTCTTTAATGAAAGAGGTAAAAGCTATGATGCATAAATATGAAAACAATTAAATGAATTAGTTTATTTGTGATGCTTACAATCATAAAAACGTATAATGGCTGCATGGGTATATTCACTATCGCCATTACTGAAAGTTGAACCTAGAGAATTAGAAAAATAAATTAGTTGCTTAGATTTGAGAAAAAACAAGAAATTAAAAGGAACTTGGTTTACCCTTCTCGTCAGCATTGAAAAAACTAATGACTGACCGAAGTAACACAATTTGCTCACAAGATATCATTTTTGTTATATTTTTTTTTTTCGTTCAATTAAGAGGAACCTGTTCTTCCTAATATTACTGAATGATATAATAAAGGGATTCAAGCACAGAAACCCAACCTTCATACTTCACAAATTTTAAGTTTAGACAACTAATCATTCGATCAGATGAGGACTAGAAATACAAAAAAAATCACTACAACGAGAATTTATTTATCAGCTAAATAGAAATTTAGGGATGATGAAAACTACAAATCAATTGAAAATCACGGTAAATCATGCCAACAATTTGTCCGACCAACTGATCTGAGTACGTGGCGCATATATATATATATATTTGTATTCGCTCAATATTCATGCATGAGTAACATTGTGATGTAAATATTAAAAAACGTGTAAGAATTTAGACACGATTTAGGTGAATTGTTAGATATTCAATCAAAATTATTCATGCATGAGTCTCGTAATTAAGTGTCAAACCTTTTGTATGAAAAATTGAAAATGCGTAGTGGAGGTCATGTGATTCTACATAAATTAAATATGGATGTATTGATTTGTTGGCAATATAAATGGATGCATGGAAGCAGACAACAGTTGCGAGAATTTATTTATTTATTTTTTATGTTTTGTGCAAAGGAGTTGAGAAAAATATGAGAAGAGAGAAGGCAGAGAAAGGGGGACAAAGTGAATTATAAATTCATTTTGAAAAGTTCAGAGTATTATCTTGAAGAACCAAATGCACCTTCTGAGGAACTTTTAAACTTGGCAATTTTTTGTATTTGTTTACCCCTCTTTCTTTGTTATCTTAACGAAGTTATTTCTGCCACTTGCATTAAGACTTGAGCATTCTTTTTTCTTAGTTGAGGAAGGGGGCACTCAAGTTTTGGGATGGGCCAGTCAGTGACTTATTGAATACTATGATTATGACTTTTTTACTATTGAATAGGATACCCTTACCTTACTCTTCAATTTAGGTTTTACTTGAGCCAAGCCATGTAAATGGTAATGGTTTATTTTGATGCGTTTGATATTGGCTTGGTACTTCCATGAACATGAAAATATGCATACTATTTTCCTAAAAACATCTATCACAAAAGAATTTTTTAAGGAATACAATGATCATGAAGTTCAAGATCGAGAAGTCAATAGCTCGAAGAATTTTTAAGATGTGTGGTGTTGTAGGCCAGTGGAGACTGACAAAGGCACTCATGGGGTGTGTTATAATGCATGAAATGAACAAGTAAAGAAAACAGGCTAGAAATTGATTAAAACTGCCTTAGCGATCGAATGTAATCGGTAAATAAGGTCATAAGGAGAACTAAAGAGAATTTGTGGCGCAATCTAAGGCCTTTAAATAAATGCTATTAGAAATAGAAACTCTACTTGCTTTACATTCAAAAGATATGCCCATTAAATCACATTTGAATTTTGCTTTATAAGCTCAATTGTGCTAATTGTATTACTAATCATCTAATTAAAAAAGCAATCTTAATTTGATTATCATTAATATTCATCATTATTTGGTTGAGAAATTTATAAAGAACTACATATTTTATACATTCCATTAAATTTTTTAAATTAGGTTAATTACATGTTAGTAGGTTTATATAACTATGCTATATTTAAAAACAATCTGATAATTTGATTCCATTGAGTTAATTTAATTTTTGCACATATTTACTTTTACATTCTTAAAAAAATTGTTAAAATTAAAACGTTACATTAATTACGATCCCTTGCACTGCCAAAACTACCCAAAAAATGCTAAAAAAGTCAGGAATGTCCTTGTAAAAGTTCCATTGCAGTCCGAATATCTCAGTAAAGAAATTCAACTAATCCAATGGGTCAGTGTTGAGTTGCTATTAACTAGCCGTTTGAGGACCAAACTGGAAAAGGATTTTGAATATTTTTTAGGATTATTTTAAAGGGCTATAAATACTATCATATATTGAAGAGAAAAATTTATGGATTAATGAAAGAAAAACTTACATGATAAAATTATTTATGAAATCTATTTTGAAGGAAATTGAGTATTCATTCAAACAAATACTATCACATAAAACTTTCTATTTGATAATATCTAATCTCGCTCAATCCGTAGAATTATATAAAGGGAACTTTATAGCATGTACTTGCTATTTATAAAATAGAGAGTATAACGTACTCTTCAAGTGAAAGTTTTAGTAAATTTTGACAAGAAATATTTGTAAATAAGTGCATGTCCCAAGTGGAACTTGGCATAGCTTTGTAAAACCTGGGTGCGCTTGCTGGATCAAATAAGGATACTTTTTGCATTTTTAAACAGTAAGGGTTTATCCACCTAATCAAAGGAGTGAAGGTGCTGGGAGTAATAGTTGCAATGAGCGGCAAAGAGATCAGTAAAAAAGCACGCTCATGTTTGCAAGACTTTTCACAAATGCATTTAAAAAACATAAATAAATCCTGTTACGAACATTGGTTGATCCTGTATATATCAGCATCATAGCAGCAGACCAAGGAAATAAACAGGTAAGATTTATTTTAACTAATAATTATGAGGGTGTAGGTCTGCATGCATTCGTGCTTAAATGCAGTGTTAGGTGGCACGTTAAGGCATAAAAAAAGAAAGGGGCATTTAAATACATACCACCCAATTTCTCTGTATTTAGATATGTAACACCAAAACTAAAATTTTACATTCATACCACCGAAATCTTTCATATAAAAATAAAAAAAAAAACCATTATTTAGATATGTAGATACATAGGAATTAGTGGTATGTATGTAAATCTTCCCAAAAATAAAGCAAAGGATAACTGAAAGGAAAACTGTCAAGCAACCTCATAGTTTCAATTACCAATGGTTCCTTGTACAATTAAAGATCGAAATTCATCCATAAGGTTTTGAAAGGCAAGCATTGCTTCTTCTATAGCATGCCCAAGTGAAGCCTCAAACACGGAAATCAGCAAAACACACTCCACTCCGTAGTTAAACTCCTGTTTGAACATATAAGCCCGGAAATTATTAAGATAAGGGCAAAAGGCATAAAGATGATGTTTACAAATTCATTCCAAAGCAACTAATTTTTTTTCGTGGTCGGTGAGCTTCAAGCATAAGACATTCCGGTGCAAGAAGGAATGCACAACAACCAAGCCACCATCTAATCCGCTCAAAGCAACTAATTTACACTAAAAGCAAGCATGATTACTGATAATGATAGGAAAAAATGTATGGACTTCAGGCTGATCGTGATCCACGAATTAGATAAAATCTACAGTTTTTCTTAAATACTTGGCATTTCGACAAAAAGAACCGTTGCCTTTAAGAGACAAAAGGCTAAAATAATTTTTCATTTTAAAAAAGTTGAAAGGGACCTAAAAAAGGGAAATTTACATACATACAAGACAAATCCTTTGTGTTTTCATATCAAACACCTAAAATTTTATATTTATATTTATAATACTTTTGCTACAAGACAAATCCTTTGTGTTTTCATATCAAACACATAAAATTTTATATTTATATTTATAATACTTTTGCGTCATGAACCTTTACATGAATAGGTATACTTTACTTTCAAAAAGTTAGTAGTTGTGGTACTTTTTATGTGATATTGAAGATTAGATTGTTATATATGTAAATATTGAAGTTTAGGTGTGAGACATGTAAATATATAAGAATTGTGTGGTATGTATGTAAATGCCCATGAAAGTTATCAATATAACCTCTCCTCTGCGGAATAAGGACAACATGTCATCCTCTACTTTAGATTCAAAAGCCATGGAAAGTGATCCCTAAAAGAGATGAAACTCAAAATTAGCACAATTAAAGAAGCTGATTATGCATGATAAGAACCAAAGTAGCGCTAAAATGTTTAAAGGAAAATGAATAAAACAAAAGGAAGAAACTGGATAGATAATTACATGTCACAGGGCATACATCGCAGTACGGAAAGACATGCTCCTTAAGTACTTCTAAGAAGCGAGGATTAGCAGAGAACCTTGCAAGATCTTCCCTATTCTGAAAACGCATAAATACAGCATGGGTGATGTTGTCAACATTGGAATCCTCAACGCGACCTGCACAAGTAGGGAATCAAAGATAGAATTAGGGTTTACAATTTCAAAAATCACAATTCAAAAGAAAATAATAGTTAACTCGAATGCGGTGTTTGATAGCATACTATTAATAGGATTTAGCCATGGATTTAAGTTAAATCTAGCCAAACAAAAAAAAATAAAAATTAAACCCAACACCCTGTTAAATCAAATTTTCTATGTTCCATTTATTTTACGAATTAAAACCAGATTTATTAAATTTGATTGCAAGACAGATTTATTCTGTTGTCGCTCTCGAGCTCCATCTCTGTCACACATTGGATTTGATAAATCCAAATTTATGGATTTGATCAATCCTATTTAACGTAAATCTAGATTGCAACCGAACACCGCCTAAAATAAATAAGTATGCATTTTAATATATCTAATGGCTAACAAGCAGCAAAGAGTTCAAAGAAAAAAATAGTAATCCCATAATTTTGAAACAAAAAATATAGATGAAGCGTGCTGTTGAATTGAGGGCTCCGATGCAGAAATTTAATGAAAATAAATTTGCACATCTTCATCAAAGAAAAGAAGACCAAATTCTGGTAGATAGAAGTTCATTAGATTACATAAAATTAACTTTCTCGTATAGGTTAATGTGCTCATCTTTTGAGGCAACGTTCAACGAATTGATTTAGTATACTAAAGCAAATTAAAATTTTAAATAACGGCCGCAAAATAGTGGCAAAATGAAAACTCCATGTGATTTGATCAGTTCTTTACTAACCATAGTGCACATGGTATAAATGAATGTATGAAATTGAAGACAAAATAAGGTGAACAAAATTGAAATAGAGCATCAGGGGGTTTATTTGATAAAGACACTGCACTTATAAAAAAAATAATAAAGAGTGGAAATCACCTAGTGATAAAGCAATGATTCCGCTCATATGATATTGTGACGTATACATAAAATCAAGCATATATTTTTCATCAATGTCTGATAGATCCACCTTGGCTTGCAAAAGGATGATATGTTCCACAATTTTTCTGTCAAAATAAAGAGATAGATGATACACAATGACAGCATGGAGAGAATCATTGTTTTAGCAGAATTAGAACAAAAATGTCAAATGTATCACTACTAAATACTTTGCAAATACTTCTTTGGAAAATCTATTCAAAGAATCTACAATCACCTAATTTTTGTAAAGCCAGGAGACAAAATATAATATGAGATAAAGAACCAAGGCACTTTTCATGTCCTCATAATCTCACAATTAACCATGAAAGAAAAAAGACACCCTGATGTTAGCAAATGTAATGAAGAATATCTCCACAGCATCAAAGCTATGAATTCAAATGAATTATTACTCACAACTAACTGCAAAAACAATTATGGGCACATCCAACATGAGGTCACTGCAGTTTTCCAAAAGAGAGTGCCTCAACCTAAAAACAAGTAGAATGAACCATAAAATAACCACTAAAGGAGGCCAAGCATCAAAAAAGAGAAAAAAATCATGTAGTTTGGCTTAAGTATGCGTCCACAACAACATAAAGATCAAATAATTCACTAAATTTCAAAATAAATACATGAAATATAGGACTTCAGACAAAATTAAAGATATGAGCAAAGTTACTACTGTCAAGCTGAGATAAATTCATCTGTTGAAGAAGAAGATATTGTTGTTCGTGTTACTATCTTGTCTCTCTATTATAGAAGTTTAGATAGAAATTATTCATTGCTATGATAAAGAACTTATTCTCTTGCTAAAACTGAAAAAAATAACACTTCTTACTTCTTAAAGAAGCCAAAGAACTCTCGTTACAAGCTCCTCGAAGGAAAAAAAAGAGTTCCTTTTTTTAATTAGACGACTCCCCTCTCTCTTTCTCTTCATCTCCTCTCTTCGGTGTTTCTTTCATGGAATGCATTATACTATTGCTTTCAACCCTTTTTATAATTACATCATGTGTTGGTAGAACAAGTGTGAAAATCAATTTGAGAACAAGAAATGTGAATAAATTTTGAGTTGGTAGCTACCAATTTAAAAATCAAGTAAAAATGTATCTTGATTTTAGTAACAATCAATCATAAAAACTAAAAATAAATTAATCTTTTTTGTAGATTATTAAAAAAAATTAGACTCCACACCTAACATTCCCTCAATTGAATTCCAAACTTCAAATATAAATGCTTAATTGTTGCATTTGAATGCTCCTTTTGCACGACCTGACATAGGGGTTTGAAATTTTCAAGACGGAAACAAACGGTCGGACGACAAAATTCAAATTTAATTGAAATCTCTATCAATAAGAAATAATCATCCAAATAAAAAGGAGTCGTTAACGAAATAAAATTTAAATTAACTTAAAAGTAAAGAGTCTAGAATAAAATTACCTTTCACCAATTTGGTTGTAACATGTGCAAACATTCTCTCTTTTACAGTTCATTTTTTATTTAAAATTTTAACCTTGAAATATTAATTAAAATTATAATGAGCTATCAACATACTCGTGAATACTCATACTTCTAAAGTATAATAACATAAAAAAATTAATAATATGCTTGCTAGTCAAAATATAATAAATTGGTGCAAAATTATTTGATAATTAATTATTCAAACATATAAAGATCATTCAAACTAATTTGAAATATATATATATATATATATGTGTGAGTGTGCGCGCGCGTATGATCATTCAAACTAATTTGAAATATATATATATATGTGAGTGTGCGCGCGCGTGTATACATATCTGTCACAAGAGCACCAGCTAAAATTGTAACAATTAAAATATATCAATATCAATACCATTTTAAAAGTTACATTCATGAGTACCTTAGTGTCTCCAACTAATACCATACGACGGTAAATTTCATCATTCAATATGCACACACAATCTATATAATTTATTTCATTCATAGTCCTGTATCATTCAATATTTATTTATGATATTTAATGCATGAAATAAATAAATTCAATATAATGAGAAATATATAATATTCATGTCAATATGATTAATAATTTCTATACATTATCATTTACGATAAAAATTAATATGAACAAGTAACAATATTAAATCATATATTTGGTTTTGAGAAACAATAATATTACTATAATTTATAACTATGAGTACTCACATCAATCTTTAGATTGACTTGCTTTTGCCTATTTAGAGTTCACTTCCTTTGATTTGACAGTCAATAACAAATATCTTAATAAACTCCTTCGTCGCTAGCATGCTCTCTCTAAGCCATTCTAGAGCCCGCACACAGTCCGCTCTCACGTCATCATCTCGTCGTGGAACCTACACAACTTTGTGTACACTCGATTAGCATGAACTACCTTCCTATCACCACCTGTGCCTTAATTCATGCCTGTTGATCCCCCGTCAACTTCATCTCCCACTTTTTTTCTTGATTATGCATGCCTTCTATATATATATATATATATATATATATATCCGTGCAGGACTCTGCTAGGGTTTCGCCTTAACCTTAGCGTTTGTTTACAGCGTTTTCTCGCATCGTCACGCTCAAATATTTCGCGCCTTGACTCCTCTAGTCTGTTTAGTAGCGCTGACTCACCGCGTCTGCCTCGCCGTAGACCTTCTTCGTCGTCGTCATTTTGAAGGACGATTTCTGGGCGCGGGGCTCATCTCGTCCTTCCTCAGGTTCGAAGCATAAAGTTTAGCACTTTCGCACTTACGTCCTCTGCTCTACTTTGAAGGGGTTACCGTTGATCCCCTTTCGGCTTTTGCTCTTTTTTTTCACTGTAACTTCGTTATTCCTATCGTCGCGCCTTCTTCTGTTGGTGATCGCTTCGGACAAATATTATGTTGTTGCCCTTGCGGGTGTCCACGCCTCAGGTATTCCTAAATCGTGCTTCTTATCTTCTTCGTTTGCATTGACGGGGGGCATCAAGAAACCTGGTAGAAAGAATGGGAAGTCAACCATCTTTTTTACGAAAGCTGAATGTTATCAGCTTGCTTCCTCCCGTCGTCTGAATTTGGTCGAAAAATTTCTTTATGGTCATCTTAAAATCGAGCTTAATCGTAAGAAATTTGAGCTTATGCACCTTATTGGAGAGTGAAAAATTGGACTTTTAGATGGAAGACACATCTTTATTCAACTTATTAATGAAGAGGATTAAGCACGCTTTTTTGCTAAAAGATTAATCTGGATTGATAACAGAACAATAAAGATTTTGAAATAGTCGGTGGATTTTGACCCACACACAGAACTGTCAATCATTCCAGTCTGGATTCGCCTTTCTGGCCTGAACTTTCATTATTTTACTGAAGAAGTATTGTACTCTATTGTCTTAGCTTATGATAAGCCATTCAAAACGGGCATTCCTACTTTTAATATTTCTTGTCCCTCTGAAGCTAGGGTACTTGTTGAAAGGGACATCACTTCAATCGTTTCTGAGGACATTTGGTTAGACACACAACACTATGAATGTTGGCAAAGGTTTGTGATTGATTTTTTCCCTTCGTATTGCTTGAATTGTCGTATGTTCGACCACTTTATTTCTAAATGTCATCATCTATACCCCCATCTAAGACCAAAGAAGCAAAGTGCTCAACTAGAGACAGTGATTCCCCCTCCTCCTAATCTGCTCCAAGTTATTGACACTATTGATCATCAGAAGGATGCTCCTAAAGATGTCACTATCCTCATGGGTAATATGTCAATCTGCTCCAAGTTATTGACATTATTGATCATCAGAAGGATGCTCCTAAAGATGCCACTATCCTCATGGGTAATATGTCAACCATTCAGCCTCCACAAAATGCTCATGATGTAGGTTCCTCGTTTATGAGACATTTCATATTTCACCTACCCTAGAACCTGTCATTGATGTAATGGGTAGAAATATTTCTACTGCGTTTCCAGCTCTGCCACCTCATCAGATAGAGCAAGTTGTTACTATTAGTCAGACACAAGGGGCTCATGATGCACAACAACCTACACCTGTCCGACCATCTTTGGACCAATCAACTGATCAAATGAGTCAATCTTCGGATGAGGAATAATAATTTTATACATCTAGGAAGCAGAAAAAGAATGGAGGCCTACTACCAAACTTGATGGATGATACATTGGTTGTTTCGAGTAATGAAAACAAACTTAACAACTTATTAGTTGGCTCCCGTCCTAGAACCAGAACCAGAGGCAGAGAGAAGGCTAAATTGAATCTTTCACGTGCTAAATGAATATGTGAGTGTTTGCAGACTTTTTGGCGTATAATTTTCTATGTCTACATTTTAATCTTGATTTTTTGGGTATACATGTATTTCCTACGTGTGTGTTGTATGTCGGGTGGTTAGGGTGCCAATTTGGACCCTTTCATCCAACATATCTGCACCTTTCCTTTTATTTATATAATCTCCTTTGGGCTTTATAAAAAAATGCATGTCTTCTCAATTTCACACAGGATAATTGTTTGCCTCCTCTCCTTCGTCTCGATTTGATTCACTATAGGGATCATTTCCATTGTCACACCCCAGGTCCAAAAGGCGAGACACCCCAACAATGTAGGCATGATACAAAATTGAACATGTTTTGTACTTTTAAATGAAAGAGAGTTTGCAAGTAAAAACATGAAAAAAAAAAAAAAATTTATGCCATTAATAAGAATCCAATTAAAAAACTTAAAGACAAGAAGATAATTGAAAGAACCTAAAATGAAAATAAAGAAACAACCACCCAAACCCAAAAAGGAAAATACAATAATTAATGTGAAATTGAAAATACCAAAAGTAAATCTAAAACTGAAAAATGTGTTCCTGTGGAGACGGTATGGTAAGCGATCGAGTGAAATATCTTATATAAAAATATCAACGAGTGAGTTTTACATATCAAACTCAATAAATAATAGATATTCATTAAAACATAAACGATAAGAAAAATTGGGCATACAATATGAACAATAAATATGTATGATTTATTATATATATAACAAAATTTGCAAAGAATATCACATATTGATAATCAAGAATAGGAGTAATTTAACTCGTGCATTTTTATGTTAGTATTTACA